TTAGGAATAAAGTGGTATATTTTACTTTCAAATTTAAATATTCATAATCATATTTTTTAAATATAGATCGGTACTCTTAAGATTTAAAAACATTGATTGTACTACTACTATATTCTATATCTGTTGTCAAACATATTTATATATATTTCTATGCATAAATTATTTTATTATTTCAACTAAAAATTTAATTTAATTTGGCCTTACATGTGATATAAAATAATTTAATATGGTAATAGATGATTAAGGCAAATATAAATTATTTTTTTAAAAAAAAATGCAATTATAATTTATAACTGATAAATATTAAAATTAACATTATTTTTCTGGTTGTTATTGTTACAAAATGTATATTTTGTAAAATATCCAATTTATACTTTTTTTTTTTTTTAATTCTATTGATATTAAATCCAACTTCCAACCATGTTATTAAATATTATCAATTTAATACATTGTCACTTATGTACAATTCCTTTAAAATCTGTCTTTTTTAAAATAATTATGGGGTGTATAACAAATTAAGAAATAATACATAATGTACATAATTCTGGGAATTAAAGAGCAAACCAACATGGTCAAATATGAACATAAATATTATTATAGAAAATATAGAAAATATATTGAAATACAGAAGTTTAACAATTAATAATTTTAGAGTATTTATTATTTTTAATTTTAATTTAGTGCTCAACTACTGGTCATGATAAGAAAGCAAAACAATTTCATTTGTTTACCAAATTGAACAGTAACATTTTATATTGCTATACAATTTAATATTAAACTAAAATAATCATGTAACTTGTTTATAAAACTTTGTGTTTATTAAAAATTCATTTTTAATTATCAAGTTGGTTTTTAGTTAATTTTCGATTACTTAAATTGGCTTAAAAAAAAAAATGTTCTTGAATAATTTAAAGATTCTAGTTAATTTCATAATATTTTTTAATGTGTAAATTATGGAAATATATTATAAATTTATAACAATTAAAATCTAGAAATATTTATGATAATTGATTATTTTAGGTGCCAATAAAAAATGATATAAAATTTTGTCATCCATCACTGTTTCAGTAAATTTTAGTTTTAAATTTAAATTTTGAATATCTGAGAATAATTGTTATCGGCACTATATTTACAATTTCTATTTTATGCTGTGGTTTAAATCTACTTGATCTCACAATTTTTAGTGGTGTATTAAGTAATGATTTATGCAATTATCTCATACATAAATCAGTATTTTAAACTTTTTGCACCATAACTGAAGTTACTATATTTTTGAGCAATATATGCACTTGTGAATGTAGAATAATAATAGATATTAAAAAACTAACAATATTTTATCTACAAATTATTAAATATTTGCTATTCTTATTCCATTGCATATCATTATTTTAATTTTTATCATATTATAGTTAAAGTGATTTTAAGAATTAGATCATAATTAAGTTCTTAATTATCAATACCTTATTTTTTTGTGATTAAATTAATTAAATTATTTTTTCTAATTATGATCAATATTTAACAATTTATTTTATAGTTTACTTAATTAACAATTAAATTCAACATAAATAACATTCAAATTTCATTAAAAAGGATTATTTTATTTTTATTTTTCATAACCCCTTGTATGTTATATACTGTAGTAATTTTATATTGCATGCATCTTACGATATTAAATGTGTAWTCATATTGATAAATATTTCAGAATTTTCTGCCATCGAAAAAGCAATTTTTCAATTAGGTACTCATATAATAACTATGTATTTATTAAAGAATTACTATTTTTATTCAATTTTTTCTATCTATTTCACATTCTTATTAAGTTTTATTTACAATTTTATTCAATCATTCAAACAAACCCATTCGAATCCAGCTTGTTTAGTTATGTAAAAGTTGAATATTCAATTAGCTAAATCTTTGAAATTTCAAGGAATTCTCATATACAGAACTAATAAGGAAATAATTCAAATAATTTATTATTAAAAATTAAAATAAATAATAATGTACCTATTTATAAAACAATTAATTTTTATTCAATTTTATGTAAAATTGTTCTAAACACTAACTAAACCTTTATCAATATATTAAATGAACATTAAACCTAAATTATCATTTATTTTAAATACATAATAATTTGAAAAAAAAACATCATTTGAAATTAATATATGTTAGGTATATATATCTCTATTACTTAATAGATTCTATGTAATATTATTATTTCTATTTATGATGTGAATATTTTGAAACCACAATCACATTTATGTCAAGGAATTACTTAACTTTCGCATTGCACTTATAGTAGGTAGTAGAATTTTTTAGTTATCGGTTATCATTTTTTTTTTCAGTTATTTACTGTAAAATATAAGTATTTATAATCTTTCATTGTTAAAATATATTTTTAAGTACTTCAAAGGATATAAAAACAGAAGTAAGATGGAAATAGTCATGCTGTCAACTCATAAAAATAAACTCAATGTTGGAAATATTTTTGCTGTAAACATATACAATTTTAACAGTGTTCAAGATGGTATACAAATGGATTTTATTGTTCATAATGCACGTAATCAAAAAGAAAAAAATATTTTGCTTTTATATATAACTAAGGATGTATGAAAACAAATTAGGGCAAAATAATTTCTATGCCCATTTGGTTTTCCAGGTACATTGACTTGACAGAACCAGGTGGAACATTGAAAATAATTCCTACTAAAGAAACTTCACTCTCAAACAATTATTCCTGTTYGTTTTGTTTTGAAAAGTTTTTGAAGATTAGAGATAAAGTAAAGCATGACCGTGATGTTCATGGTGTTCAGTCTAATATATTGCCAATTAAGTATGTAAGTGACAGGTACACAGATAATAATATGAAAATTTCAATTTCAAATGCTGAGGATAACAGTATAGRAAAAAATCTTTCCAACACAGTTGGTGTAAGCAATACAAAATCTACTCAAGATTTTAAAATAAATAATTATGATGTATTATGCATTATGTGTAATGTTTCTTTTAAATCCTCGTTTGAAAAGTTAGAGCATGACCAACAATTGCACAATGTACAGACGACTACACGAAAAAGCAAACGCTTTGGTGTAACAAAAAGTTATGATGAATTGTTTGATGATGAATCCGATTATGATGAAGAAACAAAAAATTATTCTTCAAATTTGGTACAGTTCAATAATAATTTGGTTGAATCAAATTCTACTGATCAAAAAAGTAATCTTGAAATAGACTTGAAAAAAGAAAAAGAATCGGAAGACATAAAGAATGAGCTTATTGAATCTGAAGAAAAGTCTGATGTTGAAGATTTCAAGTGTTATTACTGTAATCAAAAATTCCCTTCCAAACACTTGGCTTCGAAACACGTTCGTTCACATATGCTTAATGATAAAAAACCAATTCCAAAAAATGACATTTATGATAAATATAAAGTTATGATAGATAACAAATTATATTACAAATGTGATCAATGTAACTATAATGTTGAAGGTAGAAGATACAAGTTTGTGTATCATATGAGGGTGCACACCGGTGAAAAACCATATACTTGTGAAATTTGTAGTAAGCAGTTCCGTACAGCAGCATTTTTAAGACGCCATATTGTATGTTTCCATGATAAAGTACGTAGTTATCAGTGTGATATTTGTGGACGTTCGTTTTCTGAGAAACGAAATGTTGATGATCATAGACGTACGCATACTGGTGAACGACCGTTTGTTTGTGAAACATGCGGTAAAAGTTTTGCTCAAAGGTCATCAATGAAAATTCATTGGAAACAAATGCATGAAAGTATAAAAGCACATAAATGTGAATATTGTGGCAAAAGTTTTATTAGAAGATGCCATTTAGTTGCACATTTAACTCATCATACAGGTGTGCGCAACTATGTATGTGCAGTATGTGGTAAAGCATTCTTACGGAGTGGTACACTTAAAGGTCATACAGCGGTGCATAGTTCAGAAAGACCCTTTCAATGCACTATTTGTGGAGACACATTTAAATTGAAAAAACATTTAAAACAGCATGGACGTGTTCATGAATCGTAACATTMATTTGTTAATGTGCCTCAATTAGAATTTATTTCAAGAATTGTTGACAATCAAAGAGATTCACAGTAATCATTGGTATTATTGATTTGTATGAGTATTGTAATTTATAATATATGTTAAAATCTATAGTCCTTATTGTTTCCTCGAACAAAAAAAAAATTTTTAAATTGAAGTATGATTATTGCTAAACTAAAAATTAATATCTTCATGTTTCATCAGCCTATTTAGCAGAGTAAACTTAACCTTTTCTCTATTACATGCATTATTAACATTYCTTTCTTCATTATTCATATTAAATACAGATAAAAACAACAAATTTAAGGTAAAAAACATTCTCTCGTTGATTTTTGTACAGATGATACACATGCAACATTATTTTTATTCCTAGTAATTATCAGTAATCTCAGTAAGCAGTGCATTTCTAAGATCTGTTTTTTATCCTATTCGTATAAACTTAAAACTTGTCAAGTCAATAAATTAATTTTTTTTTWATTTTAATTTGTGGTTTGCAATTGAATTTATTAATTAAAAATATGAAATAAAAACTGAAATTATTAATTTGGCAGGGAAAAAGTTTTCAAGAAAAAATACTTAGCAGTGAAAAGGTTAGGTAATTCCAAACATTTTTTTTTTTTTTATCATTTTATAGGAAACTCAATATTTGGCAATTGATACCATTCAGTATAATTCAATGATAATTCTTCCTTTTAATTCTTTGATAAATTATTGATAAAATAGCTGTATAGCTTAATTCTATAKAATTTATTTTCCATAATAATTTTGAAATTAATTACATTTGTCAATTTAAAAATTTTAGAGGAAAAACACCTTTGAGTTTATTAAATATGCAATGTAATGTTGTAATATTTAACCTTTAATTCAATTGAAAAATTCATTTTTTACACAAAAATTTTTAAATCTAGTCACTGCTACATTTTTACAAAATTGTTTAATATGAATAATAAAAGTATATTTTATGTCCAAAACACTTGATTAATATGAACAAAATGATTCATTTTCTTCTGGTGTAAAATTTGATGTTTAGAAATTATGATCTTTGATAAATAGGCTGATATTATTTTAAACCTTAATTATTAACAATTAGTTTAATAATGCAAACTAATCAGCATATCATTAAATACACATTTTTTTTATATAGARWTGATATTTTAAACATTTAGATTTGTATGTATGGCTTAAAAAATTAAGGTTTGAAATATGATAAATATAGATAATTTTATTAAAGGATTAAATTTGCATAGTTTTAATATTCATCTAGATTTTATTTATGTTATGAAAATACATACTTTATTTAACTACAATATTAGATCACAAAATGCTTTTTTAGTTTAAAAGTTTATTTTGTAACATAACCAACCCTACATTTTTATTATAAATATTTCAATTTTTGTTTTGAAATAAGACTTAAAAACAATAAGTTGTATTTGTGAATCTAATACTTTATCTCTTCGAATTCCTAATTTGAAGTAAAACTCAAAATATTATTTACAGTAAAATTTCTTTATAACAAAATTGATTAGTATCTACTGATTTTCTTGTTTTAAAAGAGTTTCATGGATACTAATATATGGGTTGTATTCTGTTGTAAGGAAATTTCTGTCTTATAAGGTGTTCGTTATATGTAGGTTTTACTGTATTTATTAAAATTTAAATGTATGGGAACTTAATTTATATAATATGTAATAGCTATGTAGAACCGGTTTAGCAATAGTAATTAAATTTCACAACCCATGAATTTGTATGAAATACAAATTTATTTTATTTTACTTTACTTTTTTCTTAAGAAATTTTTAATTGAATTACCTAGTAATAGGTTATGTCAAAAAATATTCTATAAAATGTTGGATTTATGGGCATCTTAATTTCTTAAAGGAACATTAAAAATAAATACAATTTTATACAAACATGTTGTTTATAYGCAATTAATGTTTACACTGTCATAATTGTTAGTGGATTGTTTAGTCAAAAACTAGAATACCTGCAATAATAATCTACCTGTAATTTTTAGTTTAATATAATATTTACCTTTTTTTAATAAACCTTATTTATGTTTGTCCAGTATCATAGATTAAAAAATGCTGCAGATAACCAAATGCAGTTATTTATTATTCATTATTTTAGTTTTGATTTGACGCATGTTGGCAGGAGCAAGTATATAATAATTTCCCACCGCCTCCTACCACAATGCACTATTAGTCAATTTCAAATAAAAATAATAAGCTATTAATGATTGAATTGTCATTGTATATAGTGTTAATTTATCTATACCAGCATATAGCTGTTTACATGAATAATTGGAAATATTTATTATAGCTATTAGATTTAATGCAACTAAATGTACAATTATTTTACTCCATTATATTATATAATATTACAGGGTATTGTGTGCCATAAAACTGTCTGGTAACTATACTGTTTTTTTTTTTTTGTATTTTCTTATTTAAAGCCGTATGAATAATTGATATAAATAACTTGTAATTTAAGTATTTTAGTTCAATGAGAAACTTATTTGTTTTATTGTTATTATTTTAATTTTTTTTTTCTGTTTGGTTCTTATGCCTTTTATTTGATAATATTTTTTTTCCCATTTTAACCAAAATTATTTATTTCAACAATTTCATGTCTACTTCTACATTATAAATTGTATCTGTAGTCTCAAACAAAAGTAATCTCAAGTGGAAGGCATTTGTGCACGGTGACGGCAATGCGTGTGTTAATAGTATTATTTCTACAAATGCCTAGCTTACATTTTGCTTAAGACAGTAAAGCATATTTTGTCTGCAATCAGTTTTCACAATGAAAGTTGACGTAAACCTATTTATCTAGAAGTGTAGTCTAACTAAACTATAAAAATTGGTCACTACCCGTGGTTACTCTTACATATTACAAAGTATAGTTGCTATTTTCAAAAAGTTTTTAATTTTCTTAATAGTTCCTAAATTCTAAGTTCAACACTATCTATTGAAAAAAGTTATTTCTTTATGGTTTTTTTTTTTTTTTTGATTTTTATGACTGATTTTGTTTAATATAATATATTTTATGTTGTAGCTGTAGGTTATGATGACAATTTAAATATAAAGCYATTTAATTATTTATTTATTAAATATATTACAAGATAATTTTTAAAATCTTTATTACATATTATTTAGTTTTTTTGTTTTAGGAAATTAATGTATTAAATAACTCTAAGAACAAAAAGTTACCTATTCAAGTTTATAATAATAGTATAACTATCCTACATAAACAAAAATTGAAGTTAAATGAATATCAACAATGTTCTTTTTATCCTGTGTGTCTTTGTACTTGTTTGCTTGCTTGTTTACTATACCAGTTATAATACCCAATCATACTTTGACACTTATTTAATGTTATGTTTAATATATTTTTATGAATCTTATCTTATTACTAATTTATGTACTGAAAGTTTAAATGTTATCATATTTTTCTACTTACTAAATTTGAAATATTATATTTTTTTATATTTATCCAAAATAATATTGTAATACTATTATTCTTGTGAATTATATTTTAATATAGTTTTATTCAATTGTAGTTATAGAATATTTTAATATGTATTTTTTTTTTTTTTTGTAAAAATGTTTTGATATAGTATTAACATTTCATATATGTAATTTGGTATTAAATAGCAGTTTAATAAGTATAGTTAGGTACTAAAATTCATCAATTAATTTGTATATTATTTAACCTATATAATATCTAACGTGGTACAATATTATATATTATATTATTTAAAATAAATGGCATATTTTTTATTGTTAACCTAACATTATTGTTTTAGACATCATCATTATTGCTTGTTAGGTTGAGTGGCCTTTCTATATTCAGTGATTATATTATAAACTTTAAAAATAATCACATTAATTTTTATTCTATATCCTTCATATTAAATATTTATCTACTTTCTTTAAAAAATAAAAAATTAAGATTAAATAAAACTAAGAACAAAAAAATATTGCATGATGTAAAGTTCACAATCCAAACCTGAAAGTCTGTCATCGTTTTAGTTATAACCTTAAAACAAATGATTGACAAATTATTGATTTTTTTTTAATYAAAAAATAAATTTCATAAAGCCTCCTATTTAATATTTATGGTTTGAATCTTAGCTATAATTTATGTTTTTTAAAACTAAGCCAGCTCAAAATTGATTTTTTTTWAAATTAGGTTTGTATTAAAAAATAGTTAGTAGTAATTTCTGGTATTATTGTATGCCATGCTTAAAAACTGATGACTTCTTATTGAACATAATTATTTTATAATTTATGTTAGTTATAATATTAGATAATAATCACTTGCTACAAAATACAAGCAGAAGAGAATTGAAAGTAGTTAATTTAAACATATAATCATAAATAACGGCATTAAACATAAGTTTTTATGTCAACTTTACAATTGATGTTTTAAAATAGAGAAAAATAAGTAATAAGTATCCGCATATTATGTATTCTTCACCTTACTAACATTTAATACAATTAAATTCACATCCATCAGTTCTAATTGTATATTGTTAGCTATATTGGAGTGAATTAACATTTTATCAAACTTCAATGTAAAAAAAACATGTATTCTCCTGTTAGGTTTTTACGTTTTCTACGTTAAGTGAGTTACGAAATATGAGTATATTATTTTAATATTTTTTAAAATTAGAAAATTCTTATAATTGCTCATGTTAAATTGGAATGCAGGACGTACATTTTTATATATTAAACGTTAGTATGACAGGACGACACATGCCGGTACGGTGTGCTCTAAGTGACTAAAATTTTAGGTATTCTCTAACTGAAAATCAAAYTTAGCTGAACCTCATATTYGTAATTAGATATAATTGTTAAATATAGTATGCCATTTATTTATTTCCTTTGACTAAGAGTTATTAAAACGTTCATGTTATTTATTTTTACAGCGAAATCTCTGACATATTCCACAGAGAAGTGGATAACGATTCCGTGGATGACAACATGTACCTAAATGCGGCTGGCATAGACGATGACATAAATGGGTTGATGAATTGCCATCGACTGGATGACATTTCAGTGACAGACAATTGCAGCATTATCGTTCCAAAACAAGAGTACCTGAATGTCATGTCAGAAGACAGCAACCACGTTGATCATCAACTGCCCACCGAAGAAAACATCAACTCGGTTTGTGAAGGAGACGATGTCACTAATCATAACGATAGCGAAGACTTCAAACCACTTATAAATTCGATTAACGTCGATAACACTGATGGTGGTGAAATGGATGAACTGCAAAAAGTTGGCGACGGAAGCAATGGAAACGACGGTGAAGTGGACGATGAGAATGATCACGAAGACGAGGATGAAGATGAAGACGAGGACTGCAGCCGGCTAAACAACATGCAGGTAAGGCAGTTGTACGTGAACAGTTCGTTGGACGGAGCTGCCTTAGACGAGGATGAACAGCAGCAGGAGACCATGTGTCAAATATGTGCGACTGTTTTCAAGACCCGGTACAATCTGTTACGGCACTTTCAGAAGCGGCATCCCGAGTTCAAGATGTACGAATGTGACCTATGTCGGATCAGCTTCCAGTCCATTGACGACTTCAAGGACCACCTAGAAGAGAAACACTCCAAGATACACACCACGAACACAGTCGACTCGAAGCAAGTGCGTTTCGCGTGTGATGTGTGTGGTAATATGTACAAGAATAAAGCGTCTGCTATGAACCACCTACTGACTCACACCGCTAAAAAAACTGTGCGCTGCACCC